TTGTAATTTTCTGAACTATTTGGATAGTCTTTGCCTGAGAGAAACCACTTCTAGGGTTTTTTTCAGAAAATGGCTGTCTGCAAGGTTTACAGCATCCTCTCCTCCCATCTGTAATCATGTTAGCATCTCTATGGTAACGGGAGTTGCTTCAGTGGAAAAATATCAGGGAAAATAATAACTGTATTTGTAGCTCCTTTTAATGTGTTTTATCAGGGAACCCAGTATCACAGGGCCAGCCACTTTGATGTGGACCAGCAATGCTGAATGGAACACGGTTTTGAGATCCTCTGGTTTAATCTGAGCACTGACTTTCAACTTACAAAACTCTAAGTTCTTTTTAGCATTTTAAGGGATACTACAAATCAACCATAATTACTGTGTATTAATGATTAAATAGCTAAGAACATAAGAACGGTCGTACTGGGTCAGACCAAGGTCCATCTAGCCCAGTATCCTGTCCACCGACAGTGGCCAGCACCAGGTGCCCCAGAGAGAGTGGACTGAAGACAATGATCAAGCGATTTGTCTCCTGCCATCCCTCTCCAGCCTCTGACAAACAGAGGCCAAGGACACCATTTTATCCCCTGGCTAATAGCCTTTTATGGACCTAACCTCCATGAAATTATCTAGCTTCTCTTTAAACTCTATTATAGTCCTAGCCTTCACAGCCTCCTCTGGCAAGGAGTTCCACAGGTTGACTACACGCTGTGTGAAGAAGAACTTTCTTTTATTAGTTTTAAACCTGCTACCCAGACAGCAAGGACCTCTACAAAAGAGATCTCTCCTCTTCCTATGCTCTATACAGGCAGTCCCCAGGTTACGTTCAAGATAGGGACTGTAGGTTTGTTCTTAAGTTGAATCTGTATGTAAGTAGGAATCTGTATGTAAGTAGATCCCCACAGCGCCGCACCTCAGCGTTGCGGGGACCAACCCGGCAGCACCCCAGCTGCTCTATCCCAGGTGTCCCCAAGTCAGCCGCTGCTGAAACTGATCAGCGGCTGATTCCAGGAA